AAATCATTAACTTAGTCTTGCGATTTTAAATTTTGGACCCCCATAAAAAAAATCCTGAATCCTGTTCCGACTGGAAAAACAACGATTTTCAGTAATACGCCTTGAAGGTTGAGTAGTAGACTCTTTTATTGAATATCTTTGACTGAAACAGAAGAAACCATATCTTTCTGTGGGTTTCTTTATGCATAAAGAGACTCCGAGAAGTACATGTACTGGAGTCTAGAAAGTACCGCCCTCTGGAGCTCTGTGTTGAAAAACTCGCAGTTTGCGATAAAACGCGAGATCTGGACACGTCGACTTTGATGACAACAAATTGCCAGCATGGACGCTCCTCTTCATGTAAGTGAATTTACTGAAAACTGTGATATTTATGATATTTTAAGCGCACTAGATTCACTGTTACCGGGCTCATGTAGATAAATGGCCAACGAGTGGCATTTACCAGCGTTATTTCACTGTGAAACGACCGCACAACTCTCACTTCCGGTCTGAGCGTTTTACCGGTCGATCGACCACTGCCGAATGTAACTGAATGACTTTTTAAAATGCTGTTGTTTTAACAGGAACCATCGCTGTATGCTGTGAAAGCGATTGCTATTCTTGATAATGATGGAGAAAGATTATTGTCTAAGGTAAATATATGCATTGTGATGTAAAAATTCAATGGAAGACGTTATTTCAAATGAAATATAATAAGAATATTATCAGGTCTGACATAGGTAAAGGCTCCGGTCTCTTTTTATTTCACAATTTTGTTGCTTCAAACTACATCAGCAGTCAGAATGTACGATAATTCATACCGGTTTATTAAGCTGTACTGTGATTGGTTGAGTCTTGTCAGAGGATGAACGCTACTGGTAAAGTGCATAATAGGTAGTTGGGATTGCGTTAGCTTTTTTTGTGTAGCTACTAAGCTAGTCTCCATGAGAAAATGAACTGAAACTTTCAATATATTCTGTGGGCAAATGGGACGATTTTTATACTTATGTGGGGGTTCCTCTTGAGTGTACTCAGTCAGCCGTATACAAGTGGTAAAAAAAAAGTGGAGACTATTCACACCGCAGTAGTGTCTATTTAACAGTAATCCATCTATTATTTTGCACAACATGGTACAAATAACAAAAAAGGATACACTATTTGCACTACATTACATTCCACGTTACATGCATGTAACAGAAACACTGGAAACATGGTGAAGAGGATAAATTAATGCTAATAGTACTGTCCAGACATAACTTAATTTCCACGCTGGCTATTAGCCTTTCATAAACACTTTTTATTTCAAATTGAGTATTGCCATCAAAATTTCCAACTTATTCTTTCTGGTATTTGCATATACCATGGAGCTAAAAAAAGAAGGAGAGAGGACGCAATATAAGCCAATAAACTCCCTTTGTTTCACGCCCAGATTATCCAATTAAACGCATTGAATTTCGTTCTATGGAAATCCACGATAGCTGGTGTATGTTTGCACAGTGAGACGTGCCGTAGTCCTGTATTTCAAGTGAGATGTACGCCCCTCTCATAAAATTGAATGCGCAGTGGCGTGTGATTGGTACATTAGGTCATTCTGCGTATTTGAAGACCGGAAGCACAACAGTCGGACGATTATTCAAGAATTGGCGTCAATTTACAACATTTTTGTCCTTCGTGAGTTGACGATTTTCGAGGCTTGATTACCAAATTTTCCGCAAACATTTGCAAAACAGTTCAACTTGATTTATTATCGTTGTGAAGTTGGTTTTTAGACTCTATTTTCATTTTCTGCGAGCGACGTCCAGCGATCGGTAAAGATCGCATTTCATATGTCGATGGTTCGCCGCTAGGTTGGAAGATTACTGTACCTGTTTGTTACTGTGCGCATGCGCAGTCAACTCTAATCGTGTTCTCCGTCCCAGAGGCCTTTGCACACAGTGTGCCGGCGAATACCGAATGCGTTCCGAATATACACGAATCACGTAATCCAATTAGAAGGGATTAAACAGACAACAGGGAAGGAATTGTTTATCTTTTGGCTAAGCAAACAAGAACCAACTAACGTGGTACACAGGAAAGACAATAGGGTCCTCTCCTTCTTTTTTTAGCTCCATGCATATACTGTAAAAAACTTGTTTTTTGCTTGGAATTATTTTTCGCTCTTTTCGTTGAAGGTATGATTTAGTGAAAATAAAATCTAGTGAATATACTGTTATTCCTATATTTGACATTCAGCTTGTCAAAAATCTGTGAAAATAAATACCATACAAAAAAGTCTTTTCAGCGAAAATTAATTCCAGCTAAAATAAAGTATTTTACAGTAAGACATATTTAGGCAAATTACTCTGTACAATGTAGTTATGTGGCAGTTTTGAAAGCAAGCTATACTGGCTTTCAACAAGATAAAAGCTAATTAAATGTTAAGTTACACTTAGACCGTACTGCTGTGTTATGTAGGTAGCAAATTCCCAAACATAGATGAGTTGTCCATTTCCTGCGTTATGCGTGAAATCAAACATGAAAATTGGACAAACAAAAGTCATAACATTGTAGTGATGGTAAACATCGCGAGGCATTCCACAAGTAAGGGTATTGCTATATCCCCCTGTCAAGGATCAGCCTTTTGATTTGAGCTACGAAGTAAAGAAATTTGATTTCAAAATCAAATCGTATGATTTTTGTGGTAGGCATTTGGCAGGCATCTTTTACACAACTTGCAAGATTTGACAGTTGAAATGAAAATCATCCATTGTACCTGTAATTTATTTTATTACAGTATTATGACGATACATTCCCGTCATCTAAGGAGCAAAGGGTGTTTGAAAAAAATCTATTTAACAAAACACACAGAGCCAATGGTATGTACTTTTATATTAAGTTTACTTTGCCGTGTTCTATTAGAAACACATTTCAGTGTCTGCTCTATTAGTATTTACAGTAGAAGTGTGTCACCAGCTAAGGTACATGTGAACTAATACTGTGGAATACTTTATTTTCGCTGGAATTAATTTTCGCTGAAAAGGCTTTTTGGGCGTTTTGCTTGGAATTTATTTTCACTGATTTTTCATG